TACTACTTACTACTACTTACTACTACTTACTACTACTTACTACTACTACTACTACTACTACTTTTACTTTTACTGGTTCTATTCAGACTCCCTCGATTGTTTGCTGGGGCGGGCCTCTGTTTACTATTTCAGATTCAACATTAAGCCTAAACAGCATGTTGAATGATTGAGTCACAACCGTAATGCTTGAACTCTGGACATTTTGCATCGTGAATCCAAGACCTTCGCCTCATGTATTCAAAGGCGCACTTCCGTCTTACCGATAGTCTTTAGCCTTGACTCCTTATCTGTTTGCTGAATTTCCATCCTTTTCACGGTTCATGTGCGATTCTTGCTATCCTTGTGAGTTCTATTTTGCCGAAGGCAAGTGCAGCAAGGCAGTTGCAAATGAAACGTTCTGTCTTTCAAGCATTTGAGTAAGCAGGGTGTTGAGCGCACGACCCTGCATCGCAGAACAGCTGGTAATCAAAATTAATCAAATGATGGTGTTTTGTACGAACGAATTGCGGCGGTTCATCTTCAATTAATTCATGCATTTCTTCAGAGCTTACTTGTTGCCGCTAGCCGGCAACCAAGCAGCAAACTAACCGAATGCAAGTCTTGAAAGTTATCAAACATGTGAGACAAATAAACGTAGTTGCATATTTTTTTCAGATCGGGGTTGGAATTAAGTGGGTACCTCGGGGGGTGCAATTTTATAGTGCTAACATGCTGGGATCAACCCCCCTCCAATGAGGGTCATTTTTTGACCCTATAAAATTGAGGATAACATAGGAAAAGAGCCCAAATACAAAGATTCAGCTCTATTGAATTGAGGGCCATTAGTCTGTCAAAAGCTGTTGAAAGTTGTGAATATTGAGGATTTTTGTCTATAAAAATGCAGGTCCCAAGGTACTCCCGAACAGGTGTGGTCGAGTTGTAGTCTGAACCTGGTTCTCTGTACAATCAAGGTACATGGATCTCAAAAATATCTATATAGTAAGAACCTGTTTCTGTATAGAATCAAGGTCCAGGGGTCTCAACAAAACATAAAAATGCAATTTCCTTGGAAGGTATTGATTTGACAGTTGGTAGGACCACAAATCTATAGAGAAGACAGCAGGTGTTATGGAGAGGATTAGAGAGGTAAGGATCTGTGATGATCTCTGATTTTATAGTGTCCAAATGTGTCCAGATGCTGTCCCCAAATCATCCACTTCTCCCCTTTCCCAAGTCATCCCAAGCCGTCCAGAGGCTGCATATGCCAAGAAAAAGCAATCTCTATAGAATTGCAGTTCCTAACATGCAAAATCATACAAATAATTCTCTATAGAATCAGTATGCCTAAGACATCCAGAATCCCTTCACTATACTTATAAGCCTCTATAGAATCAAGCTTGTAAAAAACAACAATTCTCTATAAAATCGAGGCTCTTGAAGGACAGGACTTTACAAGCTCCATATGAGCCAAGAAAAAGTGGCTAAAACAATTGTCTTATCGGGGTCCCAACCCCCGCGATTCTGTAGAGGAAATTCCATCCCCTATTTTTTCAGTATCAATTTTTTGCTCCCCCTGCCTACTTAATTAAGTAGGCGCCTACTTCATTAAGCAAGGGACTAGTAGACTAAGTTAGCTTCTAGGTAGGACGCAGGATAGCTCACGCTTCTTGAAGGAAAGGAAGCCCTCCCCCGCCCTCAGGCGAGAAAAGCTTCCTTGAAGAAAACTCGTACTAATGATTTGCTTCCTAGATTTTTTTGGAAACTTAAGTTATGTTGGTCAGGCCATCGCCAAGGCAAACAACATGCCATGTTTGCAAAAAACTGCTAATGTGGCAGGTAGGCTTCTGTGGGCGAATTAATTTAAACTTGGCACACCTCATTCTGATTCAAGTGCTGAGACTCTCGCAAAGGGCATGTTGCAAGACGCCACCAAATTCAACTGCAAGGGTGGCACGGACGAGCACTGGAAGGGATCACGGGTGGAATCCAAACACAGAAAAGAGAAAGAACCTTATATACCCTGTCGAGAGTTGGAATGGGGAGTTCTGACAACCGCCAACCGTAAGACAGTACTTCAAAATCCTTCATGGACTTTTGGCTCATGACGACTTACATCCTCCAAAACTGTTTGAATGAAAATTGTATAGAATCAAGAGGTTTGCAAACCTCCCAGTCCATTATATAAGTTGCTCATTACACCATGCCAACACAGGGAAGAAACAACAAGTGTTGCTGGAGGATGTCTGAAGTATTAGTTCAATATAGTATATAGTTCAATCATGTTCACTTCCATCGTTTCTTCAAGCAAAAAACAAGCTGCGGTTTGGCGCTGTCAGGTGCTGCTTTCGCCTCACTGTCCAAGACGATCACGGTCTTGTATCCCGCCACAACCACCCTTAGCACCACACAGGTTGAGTAGCGCATGCTCAAGCTTTTAACATCGAACTAAGTGTTGCATTGCTTCCAAAGGGAGAACGGCAGATATGGTGCCTCTGCTCTGCAGTGCAGACGATTCGGTGCACCGGCTCTGTGGTGATCTGGCATGCGCAAGAAACTGGTTGACCGGAGGTGCCAGGTTCCTGGTCTTGCCTGTTTCATCAAGTTTAACTGTAGATGATACCTGCGAGGTCGTCAAAAAGGACATCAAATCGAGACGGTATCATTTATACATCGTCACCGCACTGCTTGCGCACTCAAGGCCGCGCAGCTTGGACGTATTCAATCGTCTCTCCCGAGATTTGGTCAGTTGCCACCTACAAAGGTACGTTGCATTGCAGCTTCGCATGCAAACAAGTTGAGAGATTCGCCCTTGGTCAAAAAAAGAACAAAGAAAAGTAAGAAGAGCGTGCGCTTTGAAAGAGAGTTCTTGGAGCCCGGACAGCTCACAACCGCATTCGCTGCCAGCAAGGATCTCAGAGGTCTCATTTTTGCATATATACAATGTTTGCTGTATGAACTCCCATTTGTAGTCTTTCAACATTTAAGGACATACTAGGTGGTAGTATGTAGCCAGCAGAATCAGAGTTTTTGTGGCATACTGAAGAATTGAGCATTTGACAAACCTGCAAGCGGCTTCCTTAGATATGGACGAAGCTCCCTGCAGTGGAGAGGCACTCCAAGCAGGTGACCTGGAGCGGTTTATCTGCGTCTCTCAAAGGATTTGGGTCGCGAAGTTGATTCAATAAAAGCCTTAGGTTGGAGGCCATCGCTAGTAGGTTGGAGGCCATCGCTAGTAGGTTGGAGGCCATTGCTGGTAGG